GGGCGAGAAACTAAAATACCATATAGGTTGGGAGTTATATGATGGGTTGCCCTGGAATTAAAACACCAAGTGGAGTTTTGGACTGTTGTGGGAAAGGAACCATGTGGGGCCACAAATGTCTGAGGCCCATGGTTTGGACAATAACAAGCAATGTGGCCCATTTTGTCACACCTAAAATAAATTGGATTCTTGCATGAAAAAATAGCCACCGGTATGAGAAAAAGGGGGGGCATCCGTCGGAGAGAGATGGTGGTGGCTGATTTTAAGGAGGGCAACTCCAATTCCACGTTGATGGATGGTAACTGGAAGGAGGAAATCGTTGTCCACGACCACGAGTGCCTCTGCCATGTATCTAGTTGCCACCATGATGAGGGAAAGTATTTTGATTTTGATTAGCTACCATGGAAACTCTAGAAGTAGTGGTAAGATTGAGTCTTTCTATAAGTGCTTCTCTTTCAAAACTAAATCATAAAATTGGTCAAATTCAAGATCGGGGTGCATATGGAGTGTTGTTGCTAAATATTTGAACTCCAGTCCAAGTCCGTCAAGAATGTAGGTGATGAGTTCATCATCATCCATAGAACTACCAGTCTAATTTAATGAATCAAAGAGTAGTTTTACTCGATTGACAGTCAGATATTGGTCCATCATTGTCCCATTTAGGTGTTCAAGTTTCATCCCGGAGGAGCCGCACACGGCTACCAGCTAGTGGTGAGAGACCTTTACCCAATAGACTCCATGCCTGAGCGTTTTGGTGTGAGATGAGGATGTTGCCGTGATCCAACTCAAAACTAATTTGTCTAGAGTAAAATCTAGGCGAACGGTTCTATCGGCCATCTCTTTGGGTGAATTCACAGTATTTTTATGACATCTCCAAGTCCATGAATATTCCCAATGTCTATAAATTGAGATTTCCAATTGAGATAATTATTCCTATCCACGAGAACTAGAAATTGAGATGAGATATTGTGGTTGAGAGTGAGAGAGGAGTTGGATGGGGAGGTGGTAAGTTCAGACATTTCTGTGATCAACTTTGTTAATTCTAAAATGCCGGACTCCTCTGACTGTGGTGTCTTTGCCATTGAAAGGAGGTGGGAAAGTGGATAAAAAATGCTCGGTGTTGGCCTGTTATGGCTCTAATACTATGAAGGAAAAGATAAATTCCAATATATTTTCATTGATGATGGTTTCCTGTACTTATACATCAAGTCTGGGACTATTTATAGAAATATTATTTACAAAGATAATGTATAAGGCAAAACTATAATCTGTCCATAATCATATCCTGTCTATATAATACCCATATTTGATTTATCCAAATATAGCTGCTGCCCATATAATTCCCATAAATGATTTGTCGGATAGCTGTGGCTTAATCAATGTTAGTCTCTTTAGGTCTTAAGTTTGAATTCTCAAGTATCTAATGGAAAGTCATGGGGGCAAGATGAGTTAAACTCTCTCAAAGCGGACAATACATAAGTTAACAGCTTGGACAAAGAGGCTGGATCGTTATAAGGAGGCTTTAATATATCTTGTAATTGGAACAAAATCTCTGGAACAAATTCCTTCTCGGTGTTTCTGTTAACACATTCTTTTCTATGAGCCCCATCTTTTTCCCCTACCAGTGCTCATTGTGTAGTGTGGGTATAGATTGGACTACAACCATGATTTTGTAGATAAAATTACATAAAGTGGTTTCTAACATTTAGTTACCATTTACAGAATTTAGTTTCTAATTTTTATTAAGAAAAACTAAACTAAACGATGTTCCTCCCAATTCACTGATAGAAATCCACATGAAACCCATCCATACAAGAAGCGTTAAACGGGACAATACCAGTCAGTGCATATCTGGTATCAAATGTTGTAAATGTCTCTGCCATATAGCTCTGATATTAATCCAACTTCTTTTCCAAGAAATGCCCCATGTCCGATTGACAAGGAGTGGTTATATCGAAAAGCAACCAGATATCACGTGTGGAAGCGTGATATTTGTCATATAGATCTGATATTATTCCAACTTATTTTCCAAGAAATGTCCCATGTGTGATGGAGAAGAAGTGGTTATATCAGAAAAGTACATGCCTTCAATTTTCAATAAGACAAATATTTCATTTCTCAAAATTTGACCTGCTACCTCACGGTGAAAGTAAGTTGTATCTCTATCCCACAGCTATAACCAATCCACCCTTGCATGTTGCACCAAGTACATTTTCTCCCTCTTATATAATTTATCAAGTTTAAGACTCAAATCACAAATCATACCACACTTTGAGCTCACTGTAAAACCTATTTGGTTTACCCAGGGCCAGCATGAGAAATATGAGACCCTGTCACCCTAGGAGACAAATTGTTATGAAACTCTTCAATATAAATGAGAAGATCACTTTTAAAATAATAACTTACTTCTAACTTTCATAAAAATTAATTTTTTAATTTTAAAGAAACTTTATAAGCTTAGCAAAAAAATATATGGAAGATTTCCTTAATTTTCTTTTCTAGCTTTTGGCAGGTATGAAGGGGGGAAAAAACGAAAAAAAGTAGAAGAAGAGACAGAACTAGGTAACAGTTAAATAGTAGGTCCATTTTATTCATTAAACCAAGAATGTAAGAAGAAGAGACAGAACTAGGTAATAGTTAAATAGTAGGTCCAATTTATTGACGCCGGGTAGGATAGTGATTATCCTATTGGCTGGTTGTAGCAGATGATTCGCAAGAAAAGAACGATAGAAAATGCCCAAAAAAAATAGAGAAAATACTCTGAATTCAACTCAATATTATTAATAATGCCGAATGCTGAAAACTAACCCACAAGCCGGGTTAAATAGCTGCGAAATACGAAATTATTGGAAAATTACCAAAAATGGCAAAATCACGAAATTATACCAAAATAAGATATTAAGTAAAAGAAGTAAGTTGCCAAAATTTTGGCTTAATTCGAGTTCTCTAACATATAAAAAAAAGGAAATTAAATATTACCATTAATAGTAAAAAATAACTTAAAATTGAATTTTGGAAAGGAAAACAGTGGATTTTGGGCTTGAAATTGACGTCTACCGAGCAAAGGTGGGTGGCCAAGACGTGCGCGCCAAAGAGAGCTTTCCGAATTGGGGTCATAATAGCGATTCCGATAACCGTAGCCAAAGTTATGGCCAAATTACCAAAGACGCGTCAAAATCTCCCAATTAAGGAAATAATGGTGATTTACTTTCTATCTTTGCGCCGATCCGCCATCTCAGGGTATCTCAGCGCCATCATCGTGCAATCTGACAAATCAGCATCACTTGACTCGGATCCTCCTGCATCAGTCGCCCTGGGTTGAAAAGAACTCGCCCTCGAGTTCACAGTAATTTCATCGGACTCCATAAAACAAGGGCTTAGGTGTTTTACGTTGAAGACGTCAGAGGTCTTCAAATGACTTGGGAGGCGCAACCTGTAAGCATTATCATTGATCTTCTGCAGCACTTCACAAGGTCCAATCTTCCGCTCCTTTAGTTTATTGTATTCCCCAACTGGAAAACGATCACGAGTTAATACTGCCCAAACAAAATCACCAACATCAAACAACACCTGGCGTCGATGACTATCTGCCTAAACTTTGTACTTAGTATTACTATCCTGTATGGACAGCTTCACCTGCTCATGGATACCTCGAAGATGTTCAGCCATCTCATCAGCTTTATTATCGAAACGACCCACACGTGGAATTGGAGCCAAATCAAGTACTCCGGATGGATTTCGACCAAAGACAATTTCAAAAGGACTCAATCCGGTGGTTCTATTCCTTGACCGGTTATAAGCAAACTCTGCTTGAGGTAATGCCAAATCCCACTGCTTCAGTTTAGTCCCGACTAAACTTCTCAAAAGATTTCCCAAACTCCGATTCACCACCTCAGTCTGACCATCTGTTTGGGGATGGTATGCGCTGCTAAAATTCAATTTCGTTCCAAGTTTCTCCCACAAACTCCTCCAGAAATGACTCATAAACTTAGTATCACGATCAGAAGTAATTGACTGTGGGACGCCATGTAAACGCACAATCTCTCTGAAATAAAGATGAGCAATCCGAGTAGCATCCATTGTCTTCCGGCAAGCCACAAAATGAGCCATCTTTGAAAATCTGTCAACAACAACAAAAATGGAATCCATCGCCCGCTGTGTACGAGCTAAGCCCAAGATAAAATCCATACTGACATCAAACCAAGGAGCTTCAGGTACGGGTAATGGTGTGTATAATCCAGCATTAGTAAGAGCCCCTTTAGACCGTTGACATACATAACACCGCTCCACATAATTTGCCACATCACTGCTCAACTTGGGCCAGTAATAATCAGAAGAGACCAATGCCAATGTCTTGTCTCGCCCAAAATGTCCTTCGTTATGAAGTTCACTAATAATCTGCGGCCTTAGTGAACAATCTGGAATGCATAACCACAATCCACGAAACAGGTAACCATTATGTAAAATAAAATCATGTCGGTGATTATCAGTTACCTCCCGAATTATCTTCCCAAATGAGGGATCCGCAGCATACATATCAGGAAATGCCTCAAATCCGACAATCTTGTGCTCATGGTGGTGAGGAGTAATGTGCGACGACTCAAAGCATCTGCTACTCGATTCAAACTCCCTGCTTGATGCCTGAGTGTGAAAGTAAACTCCTGCAAGTACGCCACCCACTTTGCATGTCGCCTACTCAACTTGTGCTGACCATTGATGTATTTCAAAGCCTCATGATCAGTAACAAGGATGAACTCCCTCTGTACCAGGTAATGGCGCCAATGCTTCAGCGTCGGAACTATGGCATAGAACTCCAGGCCATAAGTGGAATAATTTTTCTTTGATCCCGATAGCTTCTCACTAAAAAAGGCTACTGGACGTCCCTCCTGACTCAGAACACCACCAATGCCAACTCCAGACGCATCACAATTTACCTCGAACACCTTTTCAAAATTCGAAAGTGCCAAGACTGGGGCCTCCGTCATCTTCTGCTTAACCAACTAAAAGCTAGCCTTTGCCTCCTCAGTCCACTGAAAATCACGCCCTTTAAGGCACTCTGTGATGGGAGCAATCAAGGTACTAAAGTTTCTGATGAATCGACGATAGAAGGATGCCAATCCATGGAAACTCCTGACATCGTGCAAAGTTTTTGGTTTCGGCCAATTCAAAACTGCCTCAATTTTGGATTGATCTGCATGAACACCATCAGTAGACACAACAAAACCCAAAAAAGTTACAGAAGTTGTGAAGAAAGAACACTTATTCTGATTGACGAATACGCGCTCCGTCCTCATTACATCAAAGACAGCACGAAGATGATTAAAATGTGACTCCCATGTCAGACTATAAATAAGTATGTCATCAAAATAAACTACCACAAATTTCCCCATGAAAGGCCGTAAAACCTGATGCATAAACCTCATAAAAGTGCTGGGTGCGTTGGATAGTCCAAAGGGCATGACCATCCACTCGTACAACCCATGCTGTGTCTTGAACGCGGTCTTCCACTCATCTCCAGGTCTGATTCTGATCTGGTGATATCCACTTTTAAGGTCAATTTTTGAGAAAACCTTAGAACTGGACAATTGATCAAACATGTCGTCCAGACGGGGAATTGGAAACCTGTACTTCACTGTAATCCTGTTAATTGCCCTGCTGTCGACACACATACGCCATGACCCATCTTTCTTCGATACTAGGAGAGCAGGAACTGCACAAGGACTCATACTCTCACGAATGTAGCCCCTTTCCAATAATTCTACCACCTGTCGCTGCAACTCTTCAGCTTCCTTGGGACTGAGGCGATATGCTGGTCGGTTTGGTAGACTCGACCCCTGAATGAGGTCGATCTGATGTTGAATGTCCCTCATAGGTGGTAATCCTGGAGGAAGATCCTCTGGCATCAAGTCAGAAAACTCCATCAGTAGTTGCTGTACTTCTGCTGGAAATTCTGAATCCACACTCGTCGTACTATTTTCACGAGGCATTAAAGCATAAACTATTTTTTCACGCCCAATCTCAATCAAAAACCTGGACATAGAAAGTAGATTGGGGTTTTTAACTATCGGGGTAGGGATGTTTCCTTCCCTGGGAGGCACCAAAACAATTCTCTTTCCTTTGATACTAAGAGAATAAGTATTCTTCTGCCCATCATGGATAACACTGCGATCATACTGCCAAGGTCGTCCTAACAAAACATGACAGGCGTCCATTGATACCACATCACACCAAGCATTATCAAAATATTTTTTTCCAATTGAGAAAGACACTAAGCATCGTTTTTCTACCGTTACCTCACTGCCTTTATTCAGCCAAGACAACTTGTATGGTTTGGGATGACGATCCATCTTCAGTTGTAGTTTCTCGATAGCCTCCTCAGACACTACATTCTCACAACTGCCACTATCAATTATCAGCTTACAGACTTTATCAGCAACTGTGCAGGTTGTGTGGAAAATGTTGGTCCTCAACCAATCATCCCTTGAGTCGCCCTTGGGAGTCAGCAGGCTCATTCGAACAACCAGGGTCTCCTGACCATCTCCATATAGCACGTCCTCATCTACACCCTCATCATACAAGGGTTCCCCAACTTCCTCAAACTCCTCTATCATATCCTCCTCAATCAGAAGATTTTTATTCTTCTGACCAGCAGGCTTCCTGCAATCAGTCGCCCTATGCCCCTGTTCACCACACCTAAAGCACTTAATACTTGAGATGGAACTATCCCGCTGTGGCTGATAAGCAGGACGAGATTCTTGAGGGCGAACTGGCTGACTTCCTTCACCTCTGACCACTGGCCTCCTACTTTGCTGTTTCTCTACTGCAAGTGCTCGCTGATATGCCTCGGAAACTGTCCACAATGAATGAAGGCTAAGAACATCCTGCAGGGGCTGCCTTAATCCCTCCAAATACCGTGCTACCATCTGTTCCTCCGTTTCAGATAAATCATTCAGAGCCACCAACTGATAGAATTCTTCAGTATAATCATTGACTGATCTTGCACCTTGCCTTAGTGAATGGAGCCTCTGAAATAAGGTTTGAGTATAGCCGAAAGGGAGGAAGTGCCCTCTCATCTTCTTCTTCATCTTCTCCCAGTTAGTAATTTTGGATTTCCCTTGTCGCTCCCGTGAGCGCTTCAACTGTTCCCACCATGCAGATGCCCTACCTTTGAGTTTGATGGCGACTAGTTTCACTTTAACACAATCTGGAACCTCCTTATATTCAAAAATCCTCTCCACTTCATTCAACCAATCAATAAATCCTTCAGCCTGCAACGTACCAGAAAACTCGGGTAGATCCACTCTGAAACCAAGATCTACATGACGATCCTCCCGTCCACGATGCTCCCAAACTCGAGCACGATGGTGATATGGGTTTTCGAAACTGGTATCAGAATCGTGACCTTCCACATCATGATTACCGAACTCCTGTTCCACCAAACGTTGGGTTAACTCCGTAACTTGTCTCTGCAAATCTTCAATCGTCACATCCTGAATATTACGATCACGGTGCGGGACTTCCTTAATCGGAACCTGTCCTCGATGACCACGACCACGTCCACCAACCATTATAACTGATGGAATTTATCTCCCAAGAAGATGCTGATGCTCTGATACCAACTGACGTCGGGTAGGATAGTGATTATCCTATTGGCTGGTTGTAGCAGATGATTCGCAAGAAAAGAACGATAGAAAATGCCCAAAAAAATAGAGAAAATACTCTGAATTCAACTCAATATTATTAATAATGCCGAATGCTAAAAACTAACCCACAAGCCGGGTTAAATAGCTGCGAAATACGAAATTATTGGAAAATTACCAGAAATGGCAAAATCCCGAAATTATACCAAAATAAAATATTAAGTAAAAGAAGTAAGTTGCCAAAAATTTGGCTTAATTCGAGTTCTCTAACATATAAAAAAAAGGAAACTAAATATTACCATAAATAGTAAAAAATAACTTAAAATTGAATTTTGGAAAGGAAAACAGTGGATTTTGGGCATGAAATTGATGTTCACCGAGCATAGCTGGGTGGCCACCACGTGCGCGCCGAAGAGAGCTTTCCGAATTGGGGTCATAATAGCGATTCCGATAACCGTAGCCAAAGTTATGGCCAAATTACCAAAGACGCGTCAAAATCTCCCAATTAAGGAAATAATGGTGATTTACTTTCCATCTTTGCGCCGATCCGCCATCTTATGGTATCTCAGCGCCATCATCGTGCAATCTGAAAAATCAGCATCACTTGACTCGGATCCTCCTGCATCATTTATTCACTAAACCAAGAATGTAAATTGTGTCCAAATATTTTGAGCCTCTTATTAAGTACCATTTTGTTGTTTGAGAAAAATTCATAAGTCATGTATTAAGTATGGACAATTCAAAAATTAGGTTATATGTTTTAAAAAAGAATGCAAAAATCAGGTATTAACTAATTATTTAAGAATATTAATTAATTAAATATAATAAGGTCACAATTATACAATTAATGATCACATATACATAATTATAGCTCACAACTTATTTATTGGTCATATATTATCAAATTAGTTAGTCACTGATTTTCTTTAGGGCACAGATTAAAAATTTTATAGGTCATTGTTCGCTAAAATACTACACCTTAAGTGTACAGGTCACGCACAAGTTATTGATTGGACTTTTTGAGTCCGAGTCAATCCCTCGAAGAGTGTTTATTCCAATTACATGGGAGTTAATTCAAAAAAGGGTCAAGACACACAATTAATATCATTGAATTTGAAGAGTAAAATAAAATGATTCTAAGCTTTAAAGTGAAATACCCAAATGCAATTATGATAGGAGTTAGATTTTAATCAGGTTGGGATTAATTATTCCACTTGGCTGTCACTAAATTAATTCCTCAAAACAATTCAATAGTACATTGCTCACTTTTCTCATCAAACCTAATTTTCCTATTTTAGTTAATGACCTTTCTCAAGTGAAACTAACCCTAATCAATTGGTTTAACCTACTATATCTTTATGTAGATTAAACACAATCGAAAGCATTAAATATTAATGAAAATAACTCAAAGGGTTACCTAGGGCTAGGAATATATCTCTATTTCCATAAGAACTTAGGGTTTCTACCACCTTAGTTTAAAATGTAAATTTCTCAATAATCATACAAATCACTAGACATTATCACATAGTGGCCACAATAATGATAATGCACGCAAAACAATGGTAAAAACACAAGAACATAAGCATTAAATAGTGAATAAAGAAATTTATATAATTAAGCCAAGCTTCCTAATTCATCCCAATACCAAAATGTTTAGCCCATTGTATTTGTAAGGCACAGAATGAGAGGATTAAAGAAATAAATCACAAAAGTTGAGAAAAATATAATGTGAAATACAAGACAAAGAAATAAACCCGTCCCTTAGTAGGATCCTTGAGGCTTGCTTGGTTTTGGTCTTGATTTCATCAAGATTTTCTCTCTTTGGTATAGTAATCTTCTCCTTTTTGCTTGCCCCATTCTCTCTAAAATTTGGCTTTTTAAGTGAATGAAGAATGAGAGAAAAATGGATCAATTTTGCCTTTTAAATGACTCAAAAATCATGTTTTGTAATTGCAAAATGATCCCTAACTACAAAAATATAAACAAATAGGTCCTTAGTCACTGTCGTGGCGCTTTAAAAATGGCGTTGCAGCACTACAAGGGACAGAGGCATGCTGCCGTGGCTCTACTACAGTGGCGCTGTGGTGTCGCTACAGTACCACATCTCATTTTTAGTATTTGTAGCTCAGGTACTCCCATATTTGCAAACTATATCCCTCAAATTTGATTATGTACATTTTAGTCCTCAAAATTTGAATTTTCTTTCAATTGCGCCCTCCAAAATTTGCGACATTCGGTCCTAAAACTTTTGGCACTTGTACACTTTGGTCCCCAAATTCTTTTTTGTGCACTTTTTGTCCTCTTTTCCTTCCTTTAGCCATTATCTCCTTCAACTTGGGATTTTGGCCTACAAACACCATAATTACACAATTATGAATAAGAATTTATTCAATTTCATCAATAAATACACCATTAGAGTGCCTAAAAAACACACTTATTAGTCATAATTTATTTCATCGATTACAAACAAAATGAATTATAGGTCATAGTTTATTTATCGGTCATATATTTTCAAATTGGTTGCTCACAAATTACTATGTGCTACCAATGTGCAAAGTATGTTCATGATGTATAACCTTATTTTGCACATACTTCTAATGCTACATGGCCAATTCAATATATAGTTAAAACATTAGTATTCTAGCCATTGTTGGTAACTGAAGTTGAGTCAATGTTCCATACCTAAAGACTTTAGACTGAAGCACAAGAAATATAATTCTACCACTCCAAGAATGCATCTGTGACAAAAACCCTATCCAATCTGTACTCTACATCTTCTATATCCAAGTAAAGTGTGCAAGTGCAGGATTAGTATAAGGAATGACTCGAAAATTTGGTTGTTTTTCTATCCATTGATAGTAGTCGAAACAAAGAAAAACTGTCATAATAATTAAAAATTAGGTTGAAAAATCACCTTCAACCATAAATTATCATCGGATATGATGTAATTTTTAATCTTCTAAAAGTTGTAGTAATCCAGAACTAAATGGATATCGAAGATAAAATTGCCTATAATTGCACTAAGATTATAATGAATTTTTAAAGAAGAAATCAAATTCTAGAGTTCAATTAAATCTGAACACGAACATGAATAACTTGCAGAACTTATAAATTAGAAAATTTATAGTATAATTGAAAATTAAATTGGAATTCAAGAAAAATAAAACTATGCTTGGCGCTCAAAATTATATTGAATTATCTTAGAAGAAACTCATATTCTAGAGCGAAATTAAATCTGAGAACAAATATTAGTAAATACAAAGAGTATGACTTTAGATAACACATTTTAAATGGTAGTAAAATCAAGCCAAATAATTTTTTAATAATTTTTTTGATATTAATTTGCATGCATGCGCAAATCACTAAATCAAATTAATTTTTCCTATAGGCACAAAAAGTAATTGAACATATGATGGAGCTAAAACTTTTATAAGAATTTATCTAAAAATATTAATTTTTCTTACGAAAGATTTGACACCACAAATATCGTTGCTACTACCCATCAAATAATTGCTTGTGAAAGAACTTATAGTAAATTAAAACCCTGCAGACAGCTGATGAGAATGGTGGTGGAAACACAAGATGCAAGGCACTTCTTGATATCTAACGAGATTTAATAATTAAAAATATAATCTCATAGAACAATGTTATGCCAATACAATGCTCTAAAGGGCATGATATAAAACTGATTATATCTTAGATGATTTAATACTTAATATTCAAGTTGTATTAACTCACTGAATTAATCAAGTTCCGCAAGTTCATTGGATAGGGTGGGCAATGATGAGCGTTCATTGGATGGCCTGGGAATGGATAAGTGTTTCCATGACAGTCTGCTGCTGTTTCCTCCCAATCTAGTGCATGATCAGCATCAAAAATAACTTGTAGCATTCATTTGTTTATATATGTATTGATAGTAGTCTAGACAGATAAAACTGTCATCATAATAATGCATTTAGTGATGAAACATTTTATCTTTTAAAACCTCTCCTCTTTATAAAAATTTCATTATTTCCCCAAATATGCATGCAATTTACAGGCTGTATAAAGACATGAATTACTAGTCACAATAAAATTTTAGTTCTCTCATTTTAAGCGGTGGTAAAATTGTGCAAATCATTTTCTAATGCAATTTCCTAACATGCATTTTATAATCGAACTCTAATACTTTGCTTGATAAGCTTAATTTATATGACTTCTAGTTTTCTGTATTTGTGGAATACTATTATGCTTTAAATGACATGCGTATTACAATATGATCATCCAAAATGAATGAAAAAATAATTAATAATTAAGAATAATTTTATCAGACAAAGGACTGTCTACGATACTCCAGGCCTAGCAAATGCTAATAGAAATAAAATATAATACTCATTAAGTTATTTATTTCTTCATTTCACACGTATATTATCAGCATACGTTTAAGAATTTATGCGAAATAGTAAAATACTACAATCTCAATGCATTTCGCAGATTAATCCATACCTTAAAAAGAAGGTAGCTACCAAATGAGTTATTTCGCTAACTGAATAGATAAGATTTTATTCTTTAAGAGTAGCTTTAAATATTGGCTTGAGCTACTGGCTAAGTTCATGTTAATGAACTCGAGTTTTTATAGAACTAAAGATTATATGCCAATTTAGATAAGCGGCAGATGGTTAAATATAACACTAATCTGCTCAACTAGTTGAGGACCTTGAGTTGGCTTTTTCCTAGTCCTTCTAGATTAAGAGAATCAGACAAATCCTGTAGCCAACTATGGAGGTTTTCTTTCATTTTGAGATTGACACCGAACTTTTAACAAATTATGTGAAGTGTTCGGAAAGAGTCAACATTCAACTTATATCTCTTTGGGAAGCTCTATCTGCCTGGTTTCCAATGCATCAAACAATGCATTTTTAGGTGACTTTTAGAGAAATTCACGATAG